ATCGCCAACAGGCGTATGGCAGCCAGCTGCAGCGCCCCCGCATTCCCGTCAAGTACGTTTTAAGAAATTAAATACCCTCGTCGCTGGTTAGGTAACATAACGGAGTCATTTGTTTGATAGAAAACCGACAATATTTGGGATAAGCTGATTTCACCTTGGAACTGGATTCATGTCATAACAGTAAGCTTAAACCAAATAATGTCAGTTATTATGCTCTGTATACAAATATGGACATAATTTCTCTAAAAATCACATTTCCTTTCTTGCTGTGTTATCCCTCTTTCCCAGATGCCTCTGGCATCATTTAAGCAAATCACGACTTCGTGTTAATCGTTCATCTGCCTACCCGGTGCTAAATAAAAGGTCATGTAAAACCGTAGCTGACTCCATTATGTTATCTTCCTGTTACTTATTTGTTTTCAAATCACGGCGGCATCCCGTAATTAAAATTTTCTTAACTCCGTTTTCTGTAGTAGTCATCAATAAATAAATTGGTTTTCGAAATTTCAGAGAGTAAAATACTGATTTAGTGAACTCATATAACGAGTATTACTATTCCTCCAAGTATTCCATTGATTCCCATTATAGACTTTACCAATTTCGCTACAGTTCAGCCTCCATGAACAAACATTTTTCAGTGTCACTCATAAAATTTGGTTACACCGTTGTGTAATATTTAAAAGACAAGACAACAATGTGCAGTATCCATTTTTCGAATTATCGATCTACATACCTTTTTATCTGCCCGATACTCTATTTTGCCATCCCTGCCATTTAATCATCTCTTCTGAATCAGGTCATATGAACCTCGTGTACGTTTTGGCTCGGTTTCCAAGTGGAAGGCATCTCTAACGGGTTTTTTCATCCCCACAAGTGACTCGTCACCTCGGGACAAAATTATTGCAGATTCAAAGTGGTCGTGTATTCACGTATTCCGTTTTATCTTTGTGTAAGCTCTGCTTTCAGAGTCACTGAAATACGCAAACCCTTTCTCATCGTCAACTTCGTATATACAAATATTCATAGTTTGTGTAACCCTGAGTGTGAGCGCTTTAGTAATTTATATATAGCAGTTTATTAACGTAGTTCTTCATGTAAGTCAGAATATATTAGTATGGGGTATTAGTAGTCAAACGATTCCATTCCATTAGTCTTAAATTATTAGAATGATAGATTAAATTGTCACAGAAGCCGATGCTTGATTCCGATCTGCTCAAAGTTACTAGGAGACACTTTTGAAACTGCAGAGTCGGTTGTGTGACGAAAAAGGAATCAGGGGATTTAATTATATGTAAAATCTTTTATTCTCGAATTATTACGAAGCAATGAAGCAGATACTGATGCAGTTTAAATTCGGTAGAATCATTCATTGAACATATATGCATGTCTATGTAAAACATATTTATATGTCGCAAAATTCATAGCAGAAATAAGGTTTGCTCTGACACAACCTGGCTCCACAGGGGGCACAGAATCTGTCAAGATTTACACGGCCCAGAAGGTTAAAAATCATCGTTCTTCATAAGATGGGGTTAGTTGCAGGTGTCACTATTTCTGTATTTTCATCGACCATCGTTTACCACTCATATTTTTTAGTATAGAAAAGGTGAAAGAAATATTAGTATCTAGCCATGGGCGAAGAATGGCGAATTCTGTTTTTTTCAGCGCTATGGTAGCCACGAACGCAAATCTTGAAACGGTCGGCGGGTCAGGTATTGGTTGATAAAGGGCTGACAGAACCGTTTTTATCATCTGAATACAGTCATCTGCAACAACCACAACTCCCGGTGTCCAGAAGGTTTATGGGACAATACCCGAAGCGTTGCTTACAAGTTAAAAAGTTTATTATCCCAAGGATCTAGTTGTTTTATTGTTTCCTATGTTATGTAAAATGTTGTTTTTAATAAAATTTGGTTGTGTACTATCCGGGTTCCTCAAAGAGTTTTGTTCTCATACGTAAACTGTTTCGTGGTCAAACCAGTTCGATGAAGGTTTCGTTTCGAAGCAGACCGTGTTGCATGCTGAATAAACTGTTTTGCAGCGTCATCGAATCGAAGCCGCAACAACAGCGACGATGAAGAGCTACGAGTGCTGGAGGAAGAGGAAGAAGACGATGATTGGCTGAGTTCACGAAAGAAGAACTACCGACGTAAGGTTAAGAATCGTCTGCCTCGCCGGAAAGTAATCACCTCCATGCAAAAGAATGCCAGCGGTTCTAGCCTGACTTCTGTTTCCGATGAGGGCAGTGTCGGTGGCCTGTCGATAAGCGTTTCGAGACCGGCGGCCGGTAGAAAAACGTCCGCGATCTCACATCGGGACACCCTCGACCAAGAGACGAAGGTTTCGGCAGAAAAGTACGAAATGCGAACTAGAACGAAGGCAGGATTTACAGTCCTCTAATGGAGTAAAATCGGCTGATAGTTCTTCTGGCGAACATCGCGGCCACGTGGTGACTCGCCACGGGCATAAAAACGACGCTGAAGCTTGAACCTATTTCCTGTCCTTTCTTTTCTGATATATCGATCGTCTCACTGCCTGACTTTGTTTGGTGTTCATGCTTAATTTTTGAGCTTGATCTCACTTTATGTATTAAGTCTAATTTTCGAAGCGTTCATATTTCCGTCGATAATTATTTAGCATTGATTTTTTATTTAATATTGTTCTAAATGCCGAATTTTGTTGTGAAAGGCTTATGTTGTTCTATTGCATAGATGGAGTTATTTTTCCTCGTATTTATTTTGATGTGCATCCCTGAAAGGTGTGAATATAAAGTGACTACAACGAAGCATATAGCTGTGACGGTCTCAAAATTTTGATTATGCTCAGCTTTCATAATGATGAATTACCAGATCATGAGTGAAATTTTTCATAGCACTACTCTGCGCTACTCTACGGGTTCTCCAGAGCATACCGCGGTCCCACACTGAAAGGTGCGAGAGCTGCTTACGCGGGCGTCGCCAAAACTGAAACTAACAGCCTACTAAGGATTGAGACGGCATCCCCTGTTTTGGCCTAAACTGCAAGAATATCATTCTAAAAAATAGCCTACGGCTTAATGTGGGCTGCTAGGTCAATGACCAGCCTAGAAATGCCTAGCGGAATTGCGACTTGCCGATTAATTGACGAAACCGCAGGGCCTATACTTCGAACACGCATGTAAACACTTTTCGAAATTAATTACCATGCTGAATGTTTATAGATCCGTACCTGGACAAGCAACAATATAAAACGACGGTGTTATACAAATATAATAAAAAACATAAACATCAAGTAATTTTCAGTTGCTCTTGTCGGTGACAGTGATGAGTAGCGGAAAGCAAGAGTATATAAGGAAAACAAGATTCCATCAAGTCGATTGTTAGGAAATGAGATTCTTCAACGATCTGCCAGATCATACTCTTATCATAATCGTAGAATAATAAACAAAAATAATATACCTGGTATAATATGATGTAAACGGATTCTTTACACTTCACACATTCTTTATCATCATTTTGGCCGATTCGTAGCAGGTAGCTGGACGCAAGCTAAAACAATAACCTCAGTGCAAGCACTGGATTTAAAACGACGGCAACCTTCAACTGTTATAGTCATGGGCAACAAGCAAGTCTGTTGCCGCCGGTATGTAATGGCAAACACTCTTAGTTTCATTCTGATGTAAAATACCCTTTTATGTTATACATACCCAGGAAGGAGAGGACCCTGATCGAGATTCGAAGCTATACCCATTTTCGATTGCTCTATAATCGGGAACCGGAGAGCTACTTGCTAGTACAACTGTTAATGAACCACTAACTGATACGCCAACAAAAGAGGCAGCGAACTAAACACCGAAGCATACCAAAGTAGTAAATATGAATATAAAGAGCCAAACCTACCTTGCTTCAAACTGTCTCTAGCAAGCCTTTATTCTTGCTGTATCTGAAACTTATCAAACTGTCCTTAAGCTATTTCTTCAGCTTCTTTCTATATACGGCAACAGCAAAACAAAGCATTTTCTGTGAACTGACAATGGAAGAAAATCCGTTAACAATAATTAATTCTGGTGATCGCAAACCTCATTCATTAATGAGAAAAAACAAACCAAAACTATAATGTCAGTCAGCAGCTAATAATGAACACAAAAAAGATTTTTGCCAAAAACATGTAGCTGTTGGGAAACGGACAATGGATTAAACCTGAAAGTTTGCTTAGTGATGCTGTTTCTGATATTTTTATCCAGTAGGTTGTCAACGTGTTTGTAATGCCACCAAGTTAAAGAGCACTACGCTTTGTAACGAGCTTTAATTTTGCTTGAAACAAAATTCATACTGGTACATCAACAAGTACGCTGTTCGAAATAACAGCGCGATACAGTTGCTTAACCATGCATGGTAGGCGCTAAAATTCCAAATTTTTTATCATACTCACACCCTTCCCCCCGCACTTAAACACCTCTTCTTCCCAGTGTATCTAGAAGTTAGTTGCCATAAAACCAGGTGTAATCACTTGTTCGAGTCATTTTCTGCGATAGGACTGATGTTAGGCCGACTTTTGGTTGTAAAATAAGATTTTTTCATTCTGAACCTGTCAATCAGTCATGTTCAAAATTTACAGTAGATATATTACTGCAGTAGCATTCGAATGAGGCGTATTGTCATAAAAGCAGTCATTAAGGAAGGAACCACCGAATTAAGTAATCACAGGAATCAATCTAAAATATTTTTTCGGGTTTTGTTTAAAGGTGTATGACCAAGTTTTTCCGCATATATATTCATGGGATAAGTGCCTTAAGTTATCGACCGCTGACGTGGCATCGATATGGCATCGCGTACAAAACTAAGTACTTAGAGGAAGCTGCAATTGATGAATGAATGCTTATGCTTTCACGTGTAAAATCTTTTCCTTCATAACAGTCGATCGCAACGTAAGTCTGCCGAAGAAAGGGTATGTAAGCTAAAGCTTAGTCGCATGAACTGTCATATCGTTAGCAAGAACAACAGTCAAGTTAGTTCACTGGTTAGAATATCTGACTCGCAGTCAATGGTGGTTGCGTTGGAAATCTGCTCAGGTAACTCGTCTTTCATCGTAGAAAAATGAATACCAATACATGGGAACGGAACCGAGGACCACATCCTACAACATCTGCTTCGACGTAGACATTATCTTCAATAACAAACAATTTTGTGCTGATAAAATCACAACCGACGTGAGTACCGCACCGTACGATCTATTAAAAGACGTTCCAGAACGACATGGTGTGACCAGGACAAATTCCACTAGGACATGATTTTAGGAGCAGAAAAGCAAAATGAAAGCCTTTTGTGAACCTAGATGGGAAAAGGAAAAGAAAGTCTGTATGCGTTGGAGTATCGTTCTTTCATACACTTCCATAATGGAACCATTTCTGTCGTCCTTCTTTTATGAAGTTAATGGTGAGACGCTGATCTCCATTTCCATATAATCAGCAGGAGGGTTTCACGCTTCTAAGGTAGAGTCGACAGCAGCTATGAGGCAAGTATAGAATGTAGTCTCATGTCTTCTTACTACAGAGTGCCACTGATTTATAAACAACAGAAGGAAAAAAGGCGACTGACCTTCTAACCGAGCCTGAAACCTTAGACCTCTCGGCTCTGAATCTAACGCTCTACTGATTGAATAAACCCAGTCTGAATCGAAAAGTGGAACTATGAAACCGCATGTGGTTAATTACAGTTAATTAAAAACTACAATGTTATAAAACTTTAATTGTAATTTTAGGCTTTCTTCTCAAAGCAGACATTAGGAATTACAACAAATGAGGGGGTAGCAGAAATAAACTTACGGCAATAAACTCCTTGAGGCGTTCAGTGATGTCGTTGCGGCCATGTACATAAAACAAAGCACCCGCGATGCCGTTGACGGCCTTTGCCAGACAACCGCTGTTATTAAGGTGTACTGAAAACAGAGCCGTTATTTTTCCAAAGATATTTATTTTCAAAAATGGTACGACAAACTACGCCAATGCATTCGCACCTCCTAAAGACGCCTTGTAGAAAGTGGATTCCGAGCGAGCCAGTCTGGACAACGAGACGGCAATAAATACCATCAAAAGACAACACACAGTATAGTCGTCTTCAGATGAGTCCTCTGCAACCGAAAGAAAAGCCAGATACACGAGGTACAGCCACAGCATTCGTCATCTACCTTGCTTTTGCGCCTTCAAGGCACTGACCAGTGCCGTATCAATCGAAGAAGAAAATCCGCTGGCTGAGCAGAGTTCATATACATCCTTAAAGAAGGCAGATTAGGCTCATGTGAGCTTGAGATGGTGAGAATGTCAATAAAAGTTTAAAATATCATGGCAAATCGACACGTGGAAGAGATTAAAATAGAAGATAAAATCAAATAGAAAATGAAGGAAAAGTGAAGGGAAAGAAAGGAAAAGAAAATAAACAGTAAAGGACCCGTTCACTAAGATTTTGCATTAAGAATGCTAGGCTTGAGTAATGGAAAAATTCAAGATGCGACGAAGGAAGGAAGAGGATGAATCTCACAATTCAGTGGCTTGCGATTGGTTCTTTGCAACACTTTCTCGGCAGTACTCAGTTTCCTTACAATGAAACCATCAACGAAATCGACCGAGACTAAGCCCACTATCTGATGCACCACGGTACTACAAAAGAACCGGCATCAACAACCTCTGAGCATTAGTTTTACTCAGCAGTTAAATTAAATTATCAAAAAATACACAGTATTCCATTCACAAAAATTACCAAGTTTTGAAGCTGGTCCTCGAACAGGGTGGCCCGGAAATCAGCAACGGAATCCATCAAAAAGGGCATTTTTTCGCTCAGTACCTGAAAGTAGCACGTATCTACAGCGGAGTGTGCAAAGAAAATAATTCGACGACAGACACTGATAAGTCACTCACGTCCTTCAACGCCTCTTGCACCATATCTTTAAAGCACATGATCTCGCCGATGATCGTGATTCGTTGCAGAAGGTTATCCACAACGTCCAGCTGCTTTCGTGGATCGGTAACGGCTAAACAAAATCAATATGTTGCCATGTAGGAATTACAGTAGGCCTTTTGGTTTTGCAGACTAATGACCTACTAACCTGAGAGATGGCGAAATAGATCGCGCATTCTCTTAGGGTTATCGAAAGACGAACGCATCGACCGAAGAATATCTTTGTTCTGAATAACCAATTTCTGAAAACAAGCACATATAAAAAGCGATTCGTCACTGGAAACATTCAATATTAATCACAAATAGCCTAAGAATATGCTTAAAAGTAACAAATCAATCTACTCTTTCACAGTCGGCAGTCAATGAGAAATCAGGGTTTCTTAAATCCGGATACAACAAATAGCCTTCTATGAGTTCTCGCAGATCCAAATTTTATTATGCAGTGCATAGAATAAGCAATGACCAAGAAAGCTCAGCAGGTGAGAGCAACAGAAGTGCTGAACCTTAGGAATGTTTACTAACCAGAGAATGGTAACCAGAAGATGACAAAACCGCCTGCACTTTTAAAGGAAATCGGTGTAAAACAAGTCTGTACTGACCTCAAATCAAAACAGAAGGACTGGGGACACTGTGTATATCAATGCTTAAATGAATCCAGACTCGGTGCCAGCATCCCCGAGAATCGACAACGATCAAGGTGCTCTGGTACACATATCACAGCGAAGTAAAACGAAGGTATTTCCTCGGACGCAAAGACCTTTCACGAATCCTAAAACAAAGTAATCTTAACTCAAAGTTGGGACAGAAGGATAAGAAGGCTACTGTATACATAAATTTTCAAAGATGTGGTACACCTCTCACTGATCGTTACAGAACGATTATTCCATTCAAAGACAGATGCCTCATCAACAGAGAGAGAAACACAGAATGTATTATTCATTCTACAGTGAAGCCGTCCGTCACTAATCCAACAATGATATTAGCGGACAATGATCAAAATGGGAACCGGATCAAATGCCAAGTCCTGTGAGGACAATTCATCAATGTTCAAAGAGTCGATAGAATCAGAGATGAAATGTTTTCTTGATACCACCTAATGTCTGAACGGAGCATGACCGCGAACCAGAAGAAACAAAGAAAAACGAAAGTCTGTAACCGCTGGGACGCTGGTTCCCTCTACGCTCCCCTGGTAGGCGTCATTTGCAAAGCCTTTCATTTCATAATACGTATGGTACAGCGTTGAAATCATCTTCTAGGCAATCAATCAAGAGAGTCTTATTTTAAAGACAACGTCTACACAACTAATTGTATTACAGCATATAGTCTTTTGTTTCTTTTCCAGGAAATTGTACTCATTTGAACCAGTAGGATGGGAAACGAATGACCTGACCAGAACTTCAGTTGAAGGGCCTATGACTGTGAATTTAACACTTTACTGACTGAATCTGTGGACAAGAAGGGGGAACACATCGGTGACCTCACATGAATTACATGAAGGAGTGGAAAAAATATCATTTGCAACACTTCGATGGGAAAAAAGTGAAAAATAGAACAATTGGCCTAGCCCAAATTTGAGACTCGTGTCGTAATCGCTCTAAACGCAGGAAGACATTCACTGGTATAAATGCTGCTGATCTTTGGAGTTATCATTTTTGTTTCTTACTGCTAACCCATCTCTCAGCAAAAGATCAAAACGATTTTTCATTTCTCTGAACTTTACTGAAATGAATTCAAATGAACTGACAGATGCATGAAGAAATGCAAACACTCTGTCCACCCTCTGAGCGTAAGATAAAGTTTTAAGTACGGATATAACTACTTGCAAGTGCATCAACTATTTTTTGCAGCCTATCACTCTGTTTCATGCGGTCAAATGGTTAAGAACATGGTTATCCTCAGCAGGTAGAATGCGATCAGCGTCAGATCTAAATGTTATTTAGCTATTCTCATGTTTTAAAACTTATGGTCAGACACTTCAATCAGGGTTTCAGATAACTTACTCATTGCTGAAAGAAAATAACTCATTTTCAGCTCTTGAAGTGATTCAGACCACTAGAAAAACTGCCAAGAGAGAAAAAAATTATCCATGATCTACTCAATTGGCGATATCATATTGGCGGCCAAATAGGCCATCTTCTTAGCCATACTGAAAACTTCGAGCTCTCAGAAAGTATCAAAGGACTGCGGCAAAACCTGGTAATTTAATAATCACCTTGTAACAAATACTTTGTGAAGTGCATACGTACTACAAGAGTTTCTGACATTACCTCAATACTACGTTTTATTTCTCTTCAAGTCTACTCACCAAATTTGGTCTTCTATTTACAGGAGTTATTTCTTAACAAGAGCAAGCTACCAGAAGTACAAATAGCATTATCATAGAGAAGTTTGAAGAATAAAATAAAAACAACGCTACACTGACCTTCACCTCACTGATCTGACTAGCAACGTTCCACATGAGACGTTCGTTGAGAAACTTTACGCCATATGGTCCAATCAACTCTGCCAGAGCCCGAAGTTCTATGAAAAATAAACTGCTAGTAACAGACAGTGCCATGACCGAAACATCAACGTTGAATACCTGTAAAATCAGCGTATTCTTCTGGGTCAAACGGTACGTTACTGGCGGTTAACGAGGGGTGGTTCATAAATGTCTTGTGATGCGGATAATAAAGTATCTGTCCATTGCTGACTCGTCGCAGAAATACTTCCAGGTACCTATAACTAAGACATAAAAACAAGCACAAACGTACACAATAATAAACTTCAGTTATAATAGCCCATTAGTCTAAGGTGAACTTACGGGGTTATATTATGAAAGCTTATTGACAGCTGTCAACCGAATCC